GGTTCATGTGCGTTAGCAGTTAGAAGTGGAGATTTTATATATTTTAAAGTTCGATATTTACTAAATAATAAATATTATAACCATATTAATTCAAAACATATTGTACCAATTAATTCAACTGCTTTAAATAATTATATGCTGTCTATAAAATCAAATTTAAATATTTATAAAATTACAACCCTTTTGTTAAGTATTTGTTCTTTTGGTTTTATAGCATTAATTTTTGTTGTTTATTACTGTCATTTAGTGTCAGTGAACGGATAATAAATAAAACAATGTAAAAATTATTATTAATACATTTATTAAATTAAATCTTTTTTATTTATCCAACTATTTTCATTAATTCCAAACCACTTCACATACACTTTTGTTCCTTTTCGTTTAAGTATTTTTTCCACAAGTTGAACATCTGGAAATTTAGCTTTTTGCAACTCATATTCATAAAATCCTCCTAAAATCGGGTGTCCATACTGATCATCCAAAATATAGGTTGTGGGATTTGTTAAGTGAACTTTTTTAACAGTAAAAATTTCATTAGACCAATTCGGTGTATAACTTTTAGAAAATGCTTCTCTATACTTGCTTATTCTAACTTTATCACCTTCTTTAAATTTATTTAATAAACTAGATATTTTTATATGATTAAATTTATCAATTATATTTTTTTCATTTTTTTCATTAACATCAATTGGTTTCATTTTTATAGTTCTATGTTTTGTTGAATTATATTTTAAAACAATTTCGGGTAATAATTTTATCCATTTATAATTACCCTGATAGCTAAACTCTTTCCACATTAAAGATTTTAAAGTTCTATTTACTCTTTCTACTATTGAAGCTTTCATAGTGCTAAACGTAGAATAATGATTAATTTTTAATTTATTCATTAATTCTGCAAAATCTTTATTATAAAATTCCTTTCCCATATCTGTTTGCAAATTTTTCGGGGAGCTATTTTTTAAAATTGTACTCATTGCTTGTGTAATTTCCTTACCAGATTTATTTTTTACAGGTAAAGCCCACACAAATTTACTAAAAGTATTAATAACTACTAAAATATACTTAAATCCATTGTTTTGTTTAGAATAAGGTTGCATATCTACGAGATCTGCCTGCATTAGGTCGTTTAAACCTTTAATAATAACATGTCTGCGTTTAAATTTTTTTCTAGCGGGTTTGTGTAGTTCATTAATTATTTCTCGTTTAAAATCAATTATTTTATTCATATTTTTATTCTGTTTAATACAATTAACTAAAACCTATAAAGGTTATACTATTAATGAATAATTTAAATTATTTTAATCGATTATATTTGCTTCTTTTAATTCTTCAATTATACTAACAATTTCATTGTTATGATTGTTATTTCCTGCCATTTGTGATGCTACCAGTAGTCTAAGTCTTGAAACCAACTCATTAAAGTTATCATAATGAACGTATTCAAGAGGTTTATTATTATATTGCATTAGTAATCCTTTACCACTATGCGCTGTGGAAGTTTTATCGTTATTATCGTCTTCGTAGTATTCAACAAGACGTTTCGGTTGTGGTAATCTTAAATTTTTTAATTTTTTTAACTTTTCTTTTGCTTCTTCTTTTAATTCATCAACTATAGGTTTAATACAAAGAATATACTTATCACCTCTACTACCAGCTATTTGTTCATTTGGATCAAAATTTCTTTTGTGTGCATTGGTGCTTAACACAATATTTTTATAATTATTTAAATCATCTAGAGTTATTAATTCGTTGTTTGGTATATTTTTAAATAATAATTCATATAAACCATAAGTACCTTTATATGTTGTACTTTTACCAGTAGTTTTATTTTTTACAACAACATCATCTCCTATAAAATCCATTATTGAATCTCCATAATAATAATAGCCTGAAACAAAATTATACCGCAAATAATGAGTATCATATCTATTTTCAGTGTCTCGTATATGGTTTTTAATATATTCACGGGGCATTTCATTATAATCATTTAATAAGAATGTATCTAAAGATGCATCATCATTTATTAAAGTACCAAAGTCTCTATAATTTGCCAATTCAATATTATCATCAAAATAACTGTCTTGTAATGTGGTATCTGCAATAGATGAATGTTCAAAAGATTCGTTTTGTTTTAAAGGACTGGTTCCAAAGTCTCTTGTATTTTTTCGCATAGGACTAGTTGCAAAGTCTATTTTCCTTGGTTTAATTGTTCGGGTTCCAACATCTCTTGTTTTTGTTTTTATAGGACTGGTTGCAAACTCTCTTTTATTTGTTAAAAGTTTTTTTTCTTTTTTGACCTCTGCTTCTTTTTCGATCTCCTCTTCTTCTCCCTCATCTTTTTCCTCTTTTTTAATATTTTCAAATTTTACTTTGGGTTTTTGTTCATTTTTTTGATGAACAGATAATATTTGTCTTAGAGGTTGTAAAGCATATTCCGTTTCAAACCTATTTAATTTTAAAGAATTTAATTTACTTTTAATATCTTTTCTTTTTTTAATTAATTTTTTTGTTATTGTTTTTTGATCCATGTCGACTACTTCTTGCAACAAATTTATTTCAACTGACAAATAAACCGCTATCTATTTATATTTATACTAAACAGCTATTAAAACAGATAGTTTAAACTATCAGTTTAAACTATCAGTTTAAACAATCTGTTAAACTACCAATTTAAACAATCAATTTTATAGCTATTAAACAAATAGTTTAAACAGTCAGTTTAATACAGTTATTTTATAAACATATAAAAGAATCAAATCCTTTTCTATATCTCCCACAATTAAAATCAGAATCTTTGCATATTACCAAAAATCCATATTTGTCTTGCCAACACTTTGAACACATTTCTTTAAATTTATCTAATGATACATCAGTATTAACATGATCTTTGTAAATATGTTTTAAATTCATTTCATCTTGTTTAAAAATAATTAACATATTTGCATTGTCTCTAATTAAATGTTTTGGTGTATGAGCATATGTTTGAGTTAAGTAAAAAGAGTCAATAAGATTATGTCTACCCATTGCGAAAAAATCTCTTATAACACTTTGTTTTTCGCATGCAACGTCGTCAAATATAAAAATTGAATTAGGTTTAGCTTCAGAAGGGTTAACTATATTTTCATTATCGCTATATTCAAAATATTTAATTTCTTTAATGGGGTTTAATAATTTTTTTAAATAAACATAAATTGGTTGATATAAAGATTTAGAATAAACGTATACATTTTCAAAACGTAAACCGTTAACATCTTCAATCAAATTTAACATAACATTTGTTTTGCCGCTATTCGATGGTCCACATATAATACATCTAATTGAGCTAGGTAGCAAGGTTCCATGTCGAAGTAATTTATTATGAGCAAAAAAATCAAATTGTTTAACTGGTAAATGACACTTTTGTTTAACAATTCGCATGATTAACAACTAAATAAATTTATGGTAAACAGTTTATTATATAAATAAATTGGTAATTTTTAATTTAATTAGTTTAATGATATCAATAGAATAGGAAAGATATTCGATAAATAAGTTTACTTAAAATTATGCAACTCATTCGCAAAAAAACATTCAAACGAAAAGGTAGCGGACTTTTAAATAAGTTAATTAATAAACTACCTTTCGAGGCACACTTGATTGGAAAGTACCAGTATTGCGGACCCGGAACTAATTTAGATAAAAGAATTAAAAGGGGGGACCCTGGTATAAACTCTTTAGACGCTGCATGTAAAGAGCACGATATCGCCTATTCGAAAAATAATAATTTGGAGTCAAGGCATAAAGCAGATTGGATATTGGAAAATCGAGCTTGGGAGCGAGTGAAATCCAAAGACGCATCTTTAGGTGAAAAAGCAAATGCGTGGTTAGTGACTACAGGCATGAAAGTTAAACGAAAATTAGGAATGGGTATTAGAGGTACCGGTAAAAAAAGTAAAAGTAGTAAAAAGAAACGTATATCAGGTAAAGGCGTTACTTTTAAAAAAGCTCTTAGTAATGCTAATAAAGCACTGAAAAAAAGTAATGATAAAGGTAAAAATGTAAATACTGCAATAAAAATAGCATTAAAAGAGTTTCGAAAAGTAAAAAATAAGAATAAATATCCAAGAGTTATTTCATTTCCCAAAACAGGCGGGTTTCTTCCGCTAATTCCAATATTTGCAGGATTGTCTGCGTTAGGGGCCCTAGCCGGCGGTGCCAGCTCTATTGCATCAGCAGTCAATAAAGCAAAAAGTGCGCAAGAAGAACTTAAGGAAAAACAACGCCATAACGAAAAAATGGAATCTATAGCTATGGGTAAAGGATTAATTTTAAAACCATATAAAAAAGGTTATGGACTATTTGTTAACCCCTATTCATATTATCAAGGAAAAAACAAAAATTTTTAATAAACAGGTTACCAAAACGATCATTGACTAATGTTGATTTGTTAAAATATACTAAAAACTTAAAAAAATTTCGCGGAGTATTTATGAGAGATAATTTGCCTAGTAAAATTCAACAAATTGAAAATGGCATAATTAATCTTGATGATCAAAATAATTCCGGAAGCCATTGGACATGTTACGTTAAAAAAAATAGAAATATTTTGTACTTTGATAGTTTTGGTAATCTTAAACCTCCTAAAGAAGTTATAAAGTACTTTAATAGTTTAGATCCTACAAACATATTTTACAATCATACTCGATATCAAAATTTAAATTATAATTGTGGTCACTTATGTCTTAAATTTTTATATAATAATGTTTAATAATTTATTATATTCAGTTAAATAATACAATTTCATCTATGAAGACGTTTAGTTTTTTCTCGAATGAATCAATTATTAGCACTGATTTTAACCCTCCCATTGATTTAAGAGAATATAAAAATGATTTTGTTATAGGTTTGCTTAATTTAGAGGTTTATAATGCTATTCCAAATATAACTGAAGGTATTAATAATAAATTTTATATTGGAAATCAAATAATAGAAATACCCACAGGAACTTATGATATTGACAATATTAACGATTATTTAAATTTAAAATTGAATGATTTGCCTGTAAAATATAGTTTATATATTAAAGCTAATTTAAATACTTTAAAATGTATTATTAAATCTGATCAAGATATTGATTTTACAAAAAATGATTCAATTGGAGATTTATTAGGTTTTGATAAAGAAGTTTTGACTAAAGATAAACAATATCATTCGAAAAAGCCTGTGGATATTATGAAGGTAAATTCAATTAAAGTACTATGCAATATAGTTAGTGGATCTTATGAAAATTCAAAAATTTCACATATAATACATCAATTTTATCCGTCTGTTCCAGCAGGATTTAAAATTATAGAGTCACCACAAAATGTTATTTATTTACCAATTAATACAAATTTTATAACTAATATAACCTTTAAAATAGTAGATCAAGATGGAAATACGCTTAATTTTAGAGGTGAGACCATCACGTTAAGAGCTCATTTAAAACCTCTACTAAACAATGGTTTTTAAATATAATAAATCCGCAACTAACGTTAATTTTAGTGTTGAACCAATTGCTAAACGGTTAACAACAACAACAAAAAATCAATTAACGCCAGCAAATATTGAATACCTTAAATCTTTAGGATTTAAAATTAAAAAAACACAACTATGAGTATATTAAATGTTACTGACAGGGCGTTTTTCGATTATTCACTAGTAAACGTTGAAAAGCATTCATATTTACCATATGTATCTAATTCTTTTAATAACAATGATGAAATTAGAATCCCAATTAACCAATCTGATTTGTTTACTCATCCAAGCGAAAGTTTTATATACATTGAGGGTAAGTTATTAAAAGCAGATGGAACTGTGTCCAATACAGCTAAATTAGTTAATAACTTTTTTGGACATTTATTTGAAGAAATACGTTTAGAGATTGGTGGTAAAGTAGTGGACCGTGTAAAAAATCCTGGGACAACTACTACCATAAAAGGTTTGGTTTCTTTTAATAAAAACGAGTTAGATCGTTTAAAAAATGCTGGGTGGAATATTAATGATTCAGATTCTCTTTATGAAGTTCATAAAAATTCAGGATGTTTTAATGTATGCGTACCGTTAAAAACATTATTTGGTTTTGCAGAAGACTTTAAAAAAATTATTATAAATTTAAGGCAAGAATTAACATTAATCCGAAGTAATTCTGATCAAAATGCAATTTATAACACATTAAATACCGAAACAAACAAAATTGTAATAGATAAAATAGTTTGGAAAATGCCTCATATTGTTGTGTCCGATGAGGAAAAATTAAAATTATTTAATTTATATGAAACCGGTAAAGAATTAGAAATAGGATTTCGAAGCTGGGAAATGTATGAATATCCTTTATTACAAAAAACTCAAAACCATAATTGGAGTGTTAAATCAGCAACGCAGCTCGAAAAACCTCGTTACGTTATTGTTGCTTTTCAGACAGATCGTAAAAATGATTTTTATAAAAACAATGGTTATTTCGATCACTGCAATTTAAAAAACATAAAATTGTTTTTAAACTCTGAAATCTACCCCTATGATAATTTAAATTTAAATTTTGATAAAAATCAATATGCTTTATTGTATGAAATGTATTCAAACTTTCAACAATCATATTTTGAAAAAGAAAACGAACCTCTTTTATCACCTGAACAATTTTTAAAAATAGCTCCTATTGCTGTAATTGATTGCTCTAGACAAAATGATGTTTTAAATTCTGGAACAGTTGATATTCGATTAGAGTGGGAAACAAGTACAGATATTCCTGATAAAACTTCTGCTTACTGCATTATTTTACATGACCGCATCATACGTTACGTTCCCCTAACAGGAATAATAAATTCATTATAAATATATTTTTTTCTTTCTTTGGGTTTTTTTTTAGTTTAATATAATCATTAATTTATTAGAATAAGAATTTTTCCCCCACTTTTTTTATAGGTTTAAATATTAATACTTCTTTATAAAATAATTTAATGTTTGTTAAGTTTTAGACGTTGCAGCAACAACAACATAAAAAAATGTCTGTATATTATATTGCTTACGATATTGCTAAACCTTTAACTATTCAAGATATTAATAGGTTAGTACAATGTTTTCAATCCACTACTCCATTTCAAGACTTGCATTATTTAGAAGAGGAATGGTATAACAGCATGGATAATTTTTCTTCCTTTACATTGGAAGAACAAATTAAGAACCCGGAAAATATCTTGATTCCAGAAGAAAAGGAAAAAATTGAAAAAAAAGAAATGGAATATAACATTGAAAAAAATTTTGATAATGTAGATTTTACTAATGGTGCTAGTGAAAAAAATATTAAATATTATTATAATAACAAGCTAATGGATATGAAAACAAATTTTGATGAAGTAGATTTTAGATGTAGTGGTAGTGAAAAAAATATTAAACATAATTATAATTATAATAACGAGCTAATGGAATATTTAGATTTTAGCGAAAATACTTAAAAAAAACATTTTTTTTTATTTTATTTTATTTTACTTAATAAAATTTTTTAAAATATCACTTTTTTTATTTAATTCCCCTTTCATATAAAAAAAAAATAAAACAATGTTTTAAAAATATAAATATATTTATTAAAAAAAAAAAGTTAAAAGTACAGGTATGTATAAAATGTATTATTTAAACAAATTAAATAAAAAATATTTTTTTCTTATGATAAATAAATTTTTAAACTTGCTTCAAGAGTAACTCTACAAATAGGACAATTATTTAGTGAAATTGAACAATCTACACAAGTAACAGTATGCTTACATGGTAAAAAAACAATAGATATTCCATTTTTATAACATATTTTACATAAATTTATATCTTCACTGTTTTCAATACTTTCTTCTTCTTCTTCTTCTTCTTCTTCTTCTTCTTCTGCATAACTTGGAGTTCTAGAACGTGAATTATTAATTGTTGTAGATTGTTCTACTTGTTTTTGTTTTTCTGCTGAACAAGATGCTTGAGGCGGTGTTGGACAATCATGCATTGAACCACAAAAATCATTTATATATTCTTCTCTTAATTTTTTAATATATTCTTTACCCAATTTTAATTGTAAAAAAGTACATTTTTCACCAAACATAGCATGTTCTTCCCAAGGATCATCTGTTTCAATCCAATCCTTTAAAATTAGACCACATTGAAAGCAAATACAATGATCTCCTAAACCAACGTAAAAAAATCCTGCACTAGCCATTTCATGGGGTTTTTGATTTAATCCTACAGGCCAATATTCAAATGAATCCAATCGATCTTGATTTAACATAAATTTAGGGTGACGCACTTTTTCTTTCTTAACTAAATCTGGAAAAATATTATCTTCAGGAACTGAATTACGAAAAATTTCAAATATCCCATTTTGGTTTTCCATTATTCCAACACTCTCAGGGTAAAAGGGTTTTCCGTTACAAAAATATAAGTTATTCATACAAGCACTACAAAAACAGTTTTAGTTGTTGAACATACAAAAGTTTACTGCAAAGTAAATAAAATTTTAAAAGTATTTATATATTTACATTATATACATATTTATATATATATATATATATATTATATTTATATATTTACCCTTTCTACTATTAAAGCCATTTAACCATCCATCTCAGTCTGAAACAACAAGTCTAAACAAGTTTCTTTATATTTGAACTTTCATTAATGCAAGAATTAATTTATAATATGTAATTTTTTTATTTAATATTGTTTGTTGTTTTGTCACTGACTGTTTCAATTCAAAAATCCTTTTATAAATATGATTTTTACGATATATTTTATTTTGGTCAACTCGATTAATTTTAAAAGCAGACATTTTTTATGTGCTCTCTCAAACTAAAACTTAAACTAATAGTAATAGTATTATATAGAGTTTCTCCTACCTATCTTTAGACGACGTATTCATGGAAGGGGACTCTTCCTAAAACTATTATTTTATTTTTTTTTTATTATTATTATAATCGACAGAAAAGGTTAAATTAAAACAAATTTAAAATGTGGATATAATTTTTTATTTAAATATTATAAAGCCACCTAAAATCTTTTTTGTGTTGGTGCACCTCATGCCCCCAATTGTTCGCTGGGTGATCCTCACCCCATCGACCCTGAATTAGCCAAAAAATTCCATAAAAATCAAATGCAATTATTTCCTCCAACCAGGGGTACGGGTTCTGCATCAGGTCGTTGAACATCCTGTTGGTTTCCCTTTCTCGCTGCACCCTTTTCATTTGGATAAAAATTTCACTGACGTCAGACATTTTGTTTGTTTTAAATTCAAATAACAGTTTGAATTTAATAAACTTACAATTTAAAAACAGACTTATATATACTATTATTCCCACCAACGCCACCGACAATGGCAGTTAATTAATACAATGAAAATAATTTTAAATTCCTAAGACTAAATTAAACTACAATATTTTTTGATTACATAATCTTAAAATATATTCATTAATATTAGCGATTAAATATTTCAAAAATATAAAATATATTTATTATTAATATTAAATATAAGTATAAGTTTTTAATTATTCAAATTTTACATCATTGTAACCTTCACTAACTTCCATAATCATATAAATTTTTTTTCTTTGAATTTCTTTGTTAATTTTTTCAATATCACCAATTAACTTTGAAAATCGTTTTGGTAATATTACAGAATTTGGAAATTCTTTAACTTTAACTAAAATACATTCTCCATATTTACCATCTAAAACTTCAAGATTAACCAGTTCGTATTTCTTGTCTTCTTGTAATTCTTTAATTTTTATGAATGGAAGATGCTTGCAACCGTTAAGTTTGGTCAAAATATTGCTCATCTTTATATTGTTATTGAGTTGTTGTTTAACTAAAAAATATATAAACGATTATATGAATATCAAGAAGTAAACAAGCTTTATATACCTACTATCTTACCCCTTCTCCCAAAAACACATATTTATTTTGCACAATAAATTGCAAGAGTACATAGACCTTATGCATTTTATAATTAAATTTTATTTATTATATCCATTTTAAGGATTTGCCGATTTTGTTTCTAACATCTCTATACGTTTCTCCAAATTATTAAACATATTTATATAAGAAGCATTATTAGACTCCAATTGCTTTTGGTAATATTTAATAGCTTTAAGAAATTCTTCCAGTTGAATTCTAAAATCATCAAATGTTGCATTAAAAGATACATTATTAATTTTAGTATCTATTATTTGTTGATCCAATATCTTTTCGTTTCTTTTTACAATATTTTCATATACATCAAGTTTTTTTTGTAAATTTTCAATTCGTTGTATATTATCCAATATATTTTTAGTTGTTTTTTCTAAAACATCATTTAATATTTTATCTTGCAAAGTTTTAAATTGATTTAAGTTCTTTTTAACATTATCATTAGTTTTATTTGATAATTCTTTAAAATCTTTTTGTATTTTAGTTACGTTACTTTTTAAGTCTTTCTCTAATTTTATTATTTGTTGTTTTATTGATTTAAAATTAGTGTCTGCTGCTTTAATGTTTTTGTTATTAATATTAGATTGATTTTTTAAATTTTCAATACTTTTTTTAATATTTAAATTTTCTTTATCTGTACTATCTATTACAGATTGTAAGGAATTACTAACACCTATATGATATGATTTGAAATAATTGTCAACAAATATTCTATTCACAGCATCATTATCTTGTTCAGGTAATTTCACATTAGTAAGTTTAAAATTTTGAAAATCTATATCTTCAGTAATTAAAAATTTATCAGTATTTTTTTTAACATTAAAATAAGTGTGATGTCCGAATTTGTCGAGACTCATTTTAAATATAACAAAACTTAGCTAAAACATACATATTTAAGTAAGAAATGTATTCCCAAATCAAATATTTTAAAAAAATTTAAAGGCGTTGTTCATGTGTGTCTTCAATTTAAAACATTTAATTAATAACCCAGATATTGCCAACAGTTAATTGAACCTTATTCGTCTTTCAATATAATCTTGTTTAATCATTTAAGATTTAATTAAAATCATATGCAAGCAATGTGTTTAAAAGAATGTAAAGGCGTCTATAATAAAATTGAACCCGATTTCTTAATAGAGATGACCCGTATGAATAACACAGACCATGATCCCAAATGAGGGCCCCCCTTATTTAACGCGTCTAATAAAAACCATTAACAATACAATGTGTGTGTGTGTGTGTGTTTTTGAGTGTGTATGAAAAAATATGTAAGTATGAGACCCTTTCTTTTTTCCCCTTTTTAAATGTGTGTGAAAAAATATCTAAGGGTCGAAAATTACAATAGATAAACCGTTTTATTTAATAGTTTTTGACTTTTTCTAAAGTAAAAAAAAAAAAAAAAGCAAATCAATTATTTTATTGTTTATTTATTTATTTTGCACGTTTTGTTTCTTTTATTAATTATGATATGAACGTATATATTATATATAATACAAATTGATTTTCTACGATTTTTATCTTACACACACGCACATATTGTTATTGTTAAATTATTATAACTATAATTGTTACTTAAAATTATTTTATTTGTTTATTCATCAATTTGAAAATTTAAAATTTGTTCTATCCATAATAATAATAATAATAATAATTTATACCATCAATCTGTCTGAGCGAAAACTTTCTATATATTTTTTAAAAATTTGCAAAAGTTTTGCATCTAATGTACGCATATATAAGTAAGCCAGAATTAATTTAATGTTTAAAAGTGAGGTAGATCTCCCATAATGTTAATTTGGTGTTTAAGTAAGCCAGAACTCTTATAATGTCCATTTCGTTGTTAAGTGAGCCAGAAATCTCCTTTATTATCTACTAGTACAAGTACTTGAAAAAGTATT